ATAAAAAATAGGTGTCAAAATATGGTGAAAAATTCAATATAGGGCTAACCGCAGTGTAGATGTCCTGATATCTCTCAACAACACGCATAAGATTAGCCTTGTCATCCGATTTAAATGCATCAGCAAGTTCAATATAGGCATGACAGAAGCGCTAGGCGATTTAAATAAATTATATTCCTCACCTTCCAGGCCAGGGGAGTAAAGGAATGTGATGCTTGAGCATTCTTTGAATAAGAAAACTATAATAAAAAGCGGATAGTTAAACTTGGCTGGGGACACTATGTAACAACATAGATAACAATGAATCACCTTTCCTAGGTGAATAAGCGAAACCAGAATCTGCTTCTGGGCCGCATCCACCATGATACGACTAGAAGTAACAGCTGTTATCATTAGACACTAAAAAGATAAAAAGAGCAAGTCTAACCAGTTCGAAGAAGTGCAAAGCCCGATCCCAGTTTTTTACGGCCGAATAAACCATACCACCATAGTAAAAGTAAAGCAGGTAGTCTTGTGCTTCGAAAGAGCCCTTCTAAAGGTACATTGGCGAAAAGTGCGGACTCACGTTTTTATCCACACTGAGGATATCAATGTCCAATAATGAGATAACCGGTCGAAAGCACTTAGCAGACAGGGCTAGCTTCATCAAAATCTTGGCAGAAAAAGGAGCTTACCTGACACACATCTGCATGCAAGGCTGTAAGTTGCTCAGGATTGAGTTGTAACCTCTTAATCGAACATAAAAGAGGGCAAATGCCACGGATGGCGCAGCCCCAAGATATCAGTCTGAGAATAAATTCCTGTGATATAAATCGAACTAAAATGTAATAAAAAAGACCTATACCATAATGGGGAACTTTTCTAAGGATATCAGAGGGGCAATGATTGAGGAAACAGACTGTCTGATTCATCAATAGTTCCTTGTCAATCTGAGCCTGATAAGAATATTTCGCTTTACTACAGATATGTATCGTAAAATTAATTACAGTATGGCAGCATGGACAACTCCATGAGTCTCTATGCCAAAATTATCAAAAACGAGGTCAATTGAGGAGATGTTTCTTAGGAGGACGTCCTGTGACTTTTCTATAAGCTCATATAAAAACCCAAACGAGCCTTAATTACATATCTTAATAAAAAATAGAGCACCTCCAGACTTTTCTACGTTCGAAATGAAAGCGTTAATAGATCCAGATACCATTTAAAAATAAGAATCACGATTGAACAGCAGCAAAGGTGAAGCTGAAAAGCCACCTAACATAAAAGAAATAAAACATTAAGAACACATCACATATAAAAATAATGATTTCACAAATTTTTACCTAATTGAATCACAAGAATGAATATTAATTTTAACAAAAATCTAAACAAGTCAATTTAAAAACTCAAAATACTATATTTTAGCACAATAATTATATCATTATTATTTATAATATTAAATATAATTGAAACATTCTGCTGCCGCATTTCTTCACTTATGGCGGGATGAGAGATGCCGAGTATGAGGTTGAGCGCGTGGTTGGTCGGAGGCGGCGCAATAGTGTTATTGAATATCTTCTTAAATGGAGGGGTTATCCTGAGTCGGAAAACACCTGGGAGCCAGAAACTAATCTAGATTGTTCAAAGCTTATATCTGAATTTGAGGAACGGAGAAGAACTAAACTTCTTAAGTCTAATGACGCCGTGATATCCATTAACGATGGCAAACCTTCTGTGGGTCGTTTTTCATTCTTATTGCTCAGGTCGCAATCGAAATAATGGACGTAATACGCTCCCAACATTGTCTGCATTTTCTCATCAAAAAGTAAGGAATTACGGTCATTTTGTGTCCGCTTGGAACTTTTTAGATTTTTCGGCCATAATTAGTTTATTTTTGATGATGTTGATTATTCGAAAGTCATTTCTGTCTAAGTTATATATTCGGGTTTTGGGAATATCAAATTACTTAATTGCAAACATCTATAAAAATTAAGACACATGGCTGGTCTTTGTCTTGGCGTTTTCTACTTGGAGGAATTCTCTATATTATGATTTATAAATTCACTAAACCCCACGCCATCATCTTGGACAAGATACACCAAATATTACATTCTGTGAGTTTAGTAGCATCAATACATTCATTTAGGTGCCTGTGTATCCCTAACCTTCCTTATTTTAGAAATATACTAATTACTCTTCCCCAAAGGTTTTACTAGATATAATTTTTCACATTATTTCATCACTAGTACTGATTTAAATTCACACCAAGCTCGTGTTGCCGTGACTAATGTTACACTTTAATTTACGTCTTCCGCTTCTATCACTGCAATCTTGATTTGCAATTTTTAGGAACTTCTAAAACAAGCATTTTTTAAATACGCCTTTTCAGAGCTGGTCATCAGGTTGATGAAAGAAGCCTTATTCAGCCTGATTTTGCCTC